GAAACTGAGTTGTACAGAATAACAGTGATTGTTGTTCGAGGGATTCAGTTATAATTAGTGCGAAAAAATTTTTTAATTTTCTGTCGTTATTTTTTTCGTTCTTTTTAAATTTTGTCTTTTAGATTATGAGCGATCCAATTTATTGTTAATCACTAGATTAGTACTGCGCATATTTCTGGATGAAAGTATGCATTCGCGACATCGTATCATCAATACCGAAATACGCCCACTTACCGATCTCTTCGTCATACTTGAGAAAATTTTGTGGCATGGTTTTAGAAGTTCAGGTTTCAAGATTTTTTATGCATTACCAAAAATTTTTTTAGAATGTATTACTGAAGGAGTTTGTAACATTAGGTTCAAGTGGTATCATGTATTGCTCAGTTAAATGGAAGTGTGAATGACTCTGGAAATTCATTTGAGTAATGGCGAGACACAAGCAATATTAGTAAAATATTTTCCTTTAAAGACACCTTTTATGCTGTTGTTTCACTTTGACAGATCCACATTTGAACTTCTTTTTTTTGTAGTCCAGAAGACAATGATAGCTTTTCGTGCTCCAGATTCTGAATTGTGGAGTTGTCTTGGTAAAGTTGCAAGTGTAAATGCAGATATGAATGAAAGTTACCAATGCATTGACCGTCTTGATAAGATCACGTAAGCTGTTATTTTTTGGATACTAAATCATTTTCACAAAAAATTGTGGTAAACAATTATCCATATTTGACATACAATATCGGTATCGGCAGTCGGTTTGCAGAACCCCTCTGCTTCGCATTCGAGCTTTCCTGAGATTAGCCGTGATGCAGAAGAAATTGGGCGTCTACTTCGAGAATTTGGTCACTTCAAGTTACATCAGGTAGTCCTTCCATACAAAAATGTTTTTCAGAATTTTGCTGAACTGGGAGAGAATTTAAAAACTAGCTGCCATATTACACTTCGTTTTCGTAACAGTATATTCGAGAAAATCTAACGAATTTATTTCATTACTTTCCAAACAGACGAAAGGAACTCGTGAAGATATTAGGGTCCCCGATTTATGCTTTGTGCTTAGATTAAGAATGAAGAGGTTCATATCCATAACGTATTATTGTATGGTTCGTAAAGATTAGTAGAATTTGATATTTCATAAGACGTTTTCCGGGACTTCTACGAGCCGTGGGCATTGATTCGACATGACGAATGCATTGGTTTATCCGGAACACTGATGGCACTTTCAGTTCTTGATTGTAATTTGGCACTAGATCGACCACAACTAGAAAATCAACCCGTGTAAGTTTCGAATTTCTATTGATGCGTACTTTTGTTTTCTTTGATTTTCTGTCGTTTGGCCATTCAGATATTTCATGTTTTTTTTCTTTCAATGATGATTTTTCTGGCTTTTTGTTTTTTAACTGTGAAACAAATGTATTGAAGAACCGTTGAGCTGGCGGCTTATGTACGTTTACCAAACCTATCGAATAACCCTAATAGTGAAAAGGAATCTGATATGGCTGATGAAAAGTCTCTGGAACTCGCCCTTGATCAAAAAAATTATTTGGAACAACGAAATAATTATTTGGAGTAAGGTTTTTGTAAATTTTTTCTGACAATAAAATTTATCCCAGTAGATCTTTTCAAATATATTGGTTTTAATGAAATTGTTGTAGTATACATGAGAGTATAGCATTGTAAGTTGGGAAAAGGAAAGTTTTTTTCTCATAGTTTGTTTTCATTTCATAATTCGGTATCATCACTGTAGATCTAAAGTGGCTGAATTGAAGACGAAAATAGAAGAAATCAATCTATCTGGTTCCAATAATATCAGTGTAAGATATTTTGTAATTTTTAGAAGTATAATATCTTTGAATTTACTTTCACGTTAAGTGCGAATTTCTATATATGCCACATTTTTTGGTAAAAATTTTGGATTTTTTGTTTTGTAATAAAACATAAATGTGTATTAAATATTGAAAGTAATTTTTCCAGTTAGCTAGTGCTTCAACGGAAGATACGCCGAAGATGTTTAATGATTATATTGCTGAAGTGGAAATATTAAAAAAGGAGAAGTCTGTGCTTGTTATCATTCTGTTTTAGACATTGTTTGAAGCAAAAAAAAAAGAAATTCCTAACGTTAATTGTATTTCAGAGAAGAACTAGCTCAGTTAGCGTCTGAAAAAGAAGATTCCATACGAATTTTACGGCAACAACTAGCAGATACGAAAAAAGTGAATGTCGATTTGTATGAAAAAATTCGTATTGTAGAAGGGAAATGTCGACAGTTGGAAAAAGATATGATTAGTGCCAATAAACGACATAATCATGTAATTTTTTTTAATGAGAGAATGATTATAGTTTCATCGACATACCATAACATTTCATTTGTGGTTGTAATTAAAAATAAAATATTGAAGTTAAACTCAGTGTGTTAAATAAATTTGACTCGTTAAGGAGAAACAGCAGCAACAGCAGGTGATTGATGTACTGAACAAGAAAAATTCTATGTGTGAAATGGATTTAGAACAGGAAGCTGGGACTTCGGAAATGTTGAAAAAGGAGCTAGCTGACAAAACTGATGAATACATGCTAACATTGAGCGTGTTGGAAAAGAAACAGGTGAAATATTTAAGACTTGAAAATTTCGAAATCTACTTGCAGATTCAAAAGAATCAGCACAGGTATTCTACATGTGAAATAAAAATATAAAAACATTAGACATATGTTTACGTATTTAGCAAGAATTGGCTGTTGCGAATGACCGGCTTGGAAAATTGCAACGTCAGACTTCAGAGCTGAATGAAAAGCTGAAACAGTTGCCTGTGATAAAACAGGTTTATCTTATTCTTTGCCTAAAATAATGAATGTTGCATAAATTTTGCCGTTTTGGTCGTCACTTTCGATGGTAAACTTCAAAACAAACGTAGCTGTGCTGCAAGAATTGGTGAAACTATTGCGCGCTGATGAAGTGCGAAAATACTGATAATTTGTTCTTGTATATTCTTTTATTCATCTACCGTTTGCTACATTCACTGATTATTCATTAACAATATCATTCATCTTATTTATAATTTCGATCATTTTTCAGGAACTCGAAGAGTTGACTGCTAGTTATAAATATAAAAGTGAGAAACTGGAGGATTGTGAAAAAGCTTTAGAAGAACTTGGTGGTCATCTATCGGAGTATGTTACTAGTTCATACTACGTAGAATTTACATTAGTCTCATGCCTTAGAATTTAACACTAGTCTTATGCCTAACATTTTTGACGATCGGTAGGAAAAATTTATTTCAGGTCAAAATTGAAAGTAGTTGAATTGAAAGAAGAACTATTGCCTCTTTCGGAAGCTGAATGGGAAAAAGATGGCAATGTTTTGAATTGTAAAGGATGTAATTTGCAATTCAGTATGAGTAAACGAAAACATCACTGCAGGTCTGTCCAGCAAGTGTTTGTTGTGTATTTCTTTTAGGAAGTGGATGAGGAAGTTGAGCTTGAATCAGGAGGGTCAGTTTTTAAGTGTTAATGATCGAGAATTGGGATAATGTTTATTAATAAGTTTATGTTTTGTTTTAAGAAGTAAGAGTAAATTCTATTTTAGGAACTGCGGCTCTATATTTTGCAATTCATGCACCGACGCGCGTGTCAAGCTGCCTTCTAGCGCGAAGCCAGTGCGAGTTTGTTTGCACTGCTACAACTTATTGCGCTGGCGACATAATTCTTCATTAGAAGAAAATTCATCACTTAATTCTTTTTAATTTGAAAAAGAAAGGTTCATGTAAATGAATAACCATTTGCTGATTTACGTGTGATAGGACTTGTGCAGTAATTTCCTGCTTTTTTAACCCCTGCCTTTTACCCAGCTCTATTCACTTTTTCAAATTTTAATTGATGGAAATGATTAAATATTTTAGTATTTTTGGAATAAAAATTTTGTCTATATTCTGTCATATCATATAGCAAAACAGTCGGGCAAAGGTGTGTTGTGAAATCTCAAACTTTAAAGGACTTTCAGTGGGCTAATTTAATAGTTAAGTTGATTTGAAAAAAACCATTCCTCGGAAAAAGCTGATTTGTACAAAGAGGGCGCTATTTAACTTAGCATTTTTTTAATGCCTTAAAAGTCCCAATTGTTTCAAAAAAATCAGAAATGGTTTTTCTGAAAGTCTATCGTAGACACCTTCTTTGACTCAAATACAGCAGCTAACTTTATGGATCAGTGGCATAATGTAGAATTCTGAAAAGCCGTAGTGCCTTAAACGGGTTTTTTATGGAGTAATTGGAGTTAGATGTTTACAGTGCTTGTCATTAACATGAGAGTGGTCTAACTCGTTTAGGGTAAACCATTAGTGAAGGCAGCAATTGCATCGGTCGAGAAGAAAGAACTGGTTGTTTTCTGAACGACACATACCTTATGATTTTCGTTTTCCTCTTTTTACTATTTAAAGGCACTATTCCAACGTTGTTGTCACCACCGTCATCACCCTTAATAATGTTCTTTTTCAGTCATTTGTCCTCCACCACCCCGAATCATTCAATCTGTCCCCGTTCCCTTCGTCTAACATCTTCTGATTTGATGACATCGCACATCTCCTTATCATTATACTATCTCTTCTCACCTATCCAACCAATATTTGTACCCATTTGAACCATCCTTAAATTGTTAATATTGTGCCACATTTGTTCAACTTTCCTAAATTTTACTTGTTTCTCCCAATTTTATTTCGCTAAATTCGACTTTCAGCATCTGATGAATCACTTACTGTTTTCACTGAAGACCAATTGATCTTGTAATTCTTAACAAAAATAAATGATTCACTTCGAGGTAATCGTAATCCTTCCTAGATCATAGAATAGCTTAGTTTTCTGCAGGAGAAGAAATAGTAGCTTTTAAAATTTAAATTTTGTGGTAGAACAAATTGATAATATTATTAATTTGGTATGTCTTAATGAACTTACATCTGCTCATGATGGTTAGCTTTGTTTGCCAGCGAGATGGAATAAATGAAAATCATTAACAGTGAAGAATGAAGGGTTCATCAGTTATGTTCAATGAAGCGGGAAGAAGTATCGAGTCCAGCTGTCTGATTTTTAAAAATAAAACGGTTCTCATTTTAAAGTTGCATTAATCTATGTTAATTAATTTTGATTAGAAATAAGCCCTTCCTTGAAGTAAGCATAATAAGTAATTTAGTAACATTAACCATTCTTTGTTATTTCCAAAATGTATAATAATTCAGTGGACACGGTGTTACTTATTATGTTCACAACCGAATGACATCAGTGTCGTTGTGCTCTATATTTACAAAAATCATAAGCGACGTTTAAAAAATAGCGAAACATCAGCGATCTCACTTGGTACCTTCGTAGGCTTGGAAACTGGTTAGTTTTTCATTTTTCTTTTCTTTGTGATTTTGATTTTGGAGAAATTTTGCTTCATAATTATAAAAGTGGAATAGTAAATATTTGATTGGTACATTAATTGAAAGCAAGCCTGGTATTACTCTTAATGATAATTTCCTTTTTCAGGTTTTGAGTTGAAAAAGCAGAATAATACAATGTGTGTTATTACGCAACTAGATATTTTGACTGTTTCGTTCCAAACAGCTGAAATACTAACAATGTGGGAGACTTGGATTTATCATACGTGCTTCAAAGGTTAATAATACTTATTAACTCTGTTTCATTCAGTGCTCTTACAAATTTTTGGTATTATTTCTCTTTTATGAGGCATAACATTTTAATATAATTGTTCCATTGGTCTAATTTGTCGATCGATCAATGTAATCATTTGTTCAGTTTTTGTTCATTAAAAACATCAATTGTCCACCATGTTAGAATACTTCATCATGATATAGAAATGACAGCGGGTAAAGCATCATCATAGTACTGCTAAAATATATAACAGAACTCATAAAGCTGAGAAAGTACTACGTCTACTGATTCTGTATTGAACTGACTGTGAAATAATAATGAATTGCTTGAATAAGTCTGTTACATTGTCATATTACATCGCACTGTTATCTTACCTTACATTTCTTCTATGTTATTTCTTCTATTTTGCATTTGAACCCTGAAAGTTTGCTCATTTTCCCATCTTCAATTAATTTTTCAACACATCGCTATCGAATAGTTTTTATTACATAACCCTGCAATAATAATTTATTTCTTAGCTAACTGATATTTGATTTTTATAGAACTTAGAGTGAACTAAACTAACTGACTAAAATTGAAATAAGAAGGAATCCAACACTGAGATTTTCCATGAACAATAATTTCAAGTTTTACGATAACAAAAGTTGCATTGCACTATTGAGATAATCTCAAAGAATTCTTGGCAGTAATATAAGCCTGAAAATATTTATATCACAATGTTGTCAAATCTAAACTATTGAATTAGAAAAAAAAAAAAAAAGTCTTTTAGATGATGAATAATGTGATCAGACTGAGAATGATTAGAAAGTAAATCATTCATTTCTGTCCTTTTATTAACTGAAAAGTAACTGATACATCCATTGTTCTATTGTCAAAAGCTGTGATAATTCATTTTCTTAGTAATGTCAACAATAATAGCCAAATGATTTAGAAAGTTTACTTCTTTACTCGACATTTTCTAAATCAATTCCATTATTTTACAAATATATACGTGTGTGAATTTGTAGGTTCACTATTTTATGCACAGCTGGTGGGTGCACCCGAATCAAGTCGTGCATATGACTCGTTAAATTGCGAAGTTCGATTGCATATCCATGTTAGTTTTTGAAATTTCATAATTGCTTGTTCTTTCCATGCAAAAGTACTAAGTTTCTAGGTGATAGAAAAGAAGGGAAAAATGGAAATGGAAGGGGAAGGGGATAGTTGTAGAATGGAAGGAGACAGTTGTACAATTAAAATTGTTCGTTTAAATTTTTGGAGAAATTTTTTTTTTTCAGGACAGTTCCTAGAATTTTTTTTTTATTTTAGGATGGCCGGATAGCACTTGTTGATGGCTATCCACAACGTCTGATTGGTTTCTGGTTTCTGAACGAAATCATTCGGGTTTGTTTTAACGACAATAAGTTGCAATTCTTCGCAAATGATAGAAGTGGTTTGGATGATGGCATGTATTCTCTGGTTTGTGGACGAATACAGCTCCTCGAGAAGCACTACAATTTAGCTAATAAACCTGTAAGTTGTTCTCGTGTTCCGTTTGAATTTATGAATTTCACTTTGCATAACTTTTTAGGTTACTCAAACGGCAGTGGAATGCGATAGTATTACTATTTGACGCAAGTCCGAGAATGCAGTCTGTCAGAACGTGATGGACACACATCAAATTTAATTGAATGAGACGTCTGATCCATGGTTTGGATCTGCTTCCCTATCACCACGTCAGTTTAAAAATATGTACCGTTTAGCGCCGGAGCTATATTCTTTTCAATAACAATACATTCATTTAATAATCTTCTTATTCAGGGATTACTTACCGCATTCTTGAAGCAGAAAGAAGGTGATGGATTATGGTATGAGGATAAATTCACTGATTCTTCAAAAATGGTAATCCAGCATTCCAGTATGTGTAACATTCAAAACTCTGAAACGAATCATTTTCGCCTTTCGTAAGTTCATATCATTTTTGAAAGTTAACAGATTTAAGACAATCGATTTAAGTTAGAAAAACTTTCATGAGATCAAGAAATTGAGATTTTTTTTCGTTTTTTCCTTTCTTTTTTGCTTTTTGGAGACATGTAATTAGCCAAACATGGTATTCCTCACTATTTTGCTTCCCAACCACTTATGTATTTCAATTTTAGCAGTGTACGTAGAACTTCGAGCCAAAAATCAAAAACATCAGGTACTTTTCCTTCACATTCAGTTCTCGACACTATTCCAAGTGCTACAACTTAATGTTGATACTTTATCGAACTTTTAATTTCAAAAATTTCTTACTTAATGGAAGATTTATGATCATCAGATATAAACGCATGGAATTTGCATTGATTAACTAAATAAAACGCTGTTTTTGCTTGCTTGCAGTGTCCCCAACTGATGCATCTGCTTCATATGTCAATGTGCTGACCGATTCCAGATTTCTTCCGTTATGTAAGTGATACACGCAAATATTCAATCACTGCAGAATCATGCATTCACGTGTTGCATTCGAGAGCTATACCAAGACCTTATGATACTTTTACATTACTTTCTATCGTTACTTGAATCAATGCTATACACGTGCTTTGTTATAGTTATTAAAACGATTTGTAAATAGGATACTAGTCCAGTTACTATTTGGACTAAACATCCCATTTAGCTGAATATGTAACCATAATCAGGAAATGGTAACGACTGATCGGGTTAAAGCAGGATAGAAAATGTTCTGAAAGTCTGATAGAATCATTTAAGCGAGAACAAAATGAGATAGACTTAGTGTGCAGTATCGCCTATGATCACGTATTGCGTGACACCACGTCGAATGACTTTGCTGAAGCTATAGTGATGCATCGGTGGGAGTTGCAATTAATCCTATTCCTCAAAGTATATGTATGTATGTATGTGTATGTGTATGTGTAATGATTATGCTATATTCAGCTAATGCACCATCGATGGTATCGTGTTGTGTGCCGTATGTAAATGATATAGGTGAGGAATGCCAGCACTCGCAGAGTGAACCTTCCGTTTTATCCGCCGGTCACTGGGATAGATCATCCGATGTCCTCCTCAATTCACCCACCAAGGATCGCAATATTCCAGTATTCTCGACGACCAGTACGTCAACTAAATGCTTATCACGTGCAGATAGTTGGCCAAGACCAATGACTAATGAAACCATCCGAGGGGTTAGTTATACGTGAATTTTTTTAATTGCAAATGACTCTATGAAAGATGGAATTAGGTGGGACGGTAAAATCATCCACATGAAACTGGAATACATAATAAAGGTGAGCAGTGATGTACAACTAAAGTAGTTAATATGTACAGAAATTATTACTGAAATTACTAAGTTCAACAAAGACCAAATTAACGTGATTGTATAACTTCTGGCGTGATTTCTATAATAATGCAAGCAGACAAACTCTTCGGCCTCCAATTTTGCGAGATTTTGTCTTTTGCTTCAGAGATATTTCGGAAGCATACCAAATCGAGATCTGTAATAAATAAACAAATATCCTACACCATATGTTAGTTGGCAATATTTAGAGAGAAATGTCTGTGCGTACTCGGAAATGGTGTGCCATTAACGGTAGAGAAACTAAAGGACGATTTGTGAAGCAAGAAAAAAAAAGTGCTGGGAGCAAACCTTATGAATGTGGCAGCTTTCGGGGACAATCTGAGTTAGTTCTTCCTAAAACATATGCCTCTTCTAATCGAATTAACTGAAATTTTGTTCTACTGCCATGCTATTATAACCTCAAACAGCATGCAGAAAAGTTAACCCTACTGGTTCTTAATAATGTATTCCATATTTTAATGGTGCTATGCTATGTAGTGATCCTTCAAGCTTTCCTAAAGTACATGTCTCTTCTAACTGACTCATACTTTTGCCTTGGTAAATTCGATATACTTTTTTTTCGGTTTGGGAAACAATTCTAAAATTTTGGAGATATAATGTATTGCTATTTTGCAATAAAACCACAAAAAAATTCCAAATTTTGATTCTACAATCATAATCAAACTTTTAAACATTCCATTCAGTTGTATTCAATGTTTTATAATTGTTTCTGTTTTGGTAGACGTCTCCCAAAACGTTCAAGGTCATTGGGAATGGAATCTAAATATTTAAATTCATCACGAGAGAGAAATTGGAACCGCGCAAAACGCATTATCGGTGGTGTGAGAAAATCGATTAATGATTTAAATGCTTGTAAAGTAAGCAAGTAACGTTGCTTTATATTATGCTAGCTAGAAGGACGATTTTATTACATTTCACATCTCATCTATGTCGTATTGTTAAATGTTTTTAAATACGTTTACATAATTCTATATAATTTAAATTATATAATTTAAAAGATAATTTCATTTATTTATTACTTATTCATTTACTTATTCAGCCTGTCTAATTAATAAATAATTTGTTTCACTTTATTTATTTTGCTCACTCGTTAGTTTATTCAATTAAATTAATTAATTTGCTAAAATACTTATTATGTTTGTATTTAACTTTATTTCAGTTTTCGTCATCACTGGATAAATTAGCATTACCGTCAGTGTTGCATCATGAAGCAGTGGTTAGTTCTAATCCTTATTTATTTTGTTCATTTTGTTTTGGATAAAAATCAAGCATTAACTAGCTCCGAAATTTGTAGGCAGTGGCATCATCATCCAATGATGACACTAACCAAGTTGATCGAGTAATACCTGATGGTTTGCAGGAACTAGAATTCACAACCCAAGGTTAGTAGTCAATGTTTATTTTTCGGAATTCTGGTCAAGAACAAAGAAAAAATCTAGAAAAGCGTGAGTTGGAAATACTTCGGCAAAGATTTCCTTTGATTAAGGAAGCTGTTTATTATGGTTTCCGAATTGATAGTTGTTGCATTCTTTTCACGATTCCGGATACATTTGGGAGGTTTAGGATGTTGCATAAATGAATTAATTGTCTATGCTCAAAAATATGAAGTTGTCATAATGTGTTTGTCCTCGATTCATGATTCTTTTAGGTTTTGCCTCATCATTATCTTCGCAATCTATGAATAGATTACCTGGCCTAATCAAATTACCACCCAGAAAATTTAGCCTTATACGTGCTCGTCATATACCCACTAAAAGCCTGCAAAATTCGATTTCAGGTTCATTTTCGGTAGGTGATAATCCTTAGTGATAATTTTGCGTTTTCTTGTCAGTTCCGGTATCCTGAAGTTTTTAAAGGAATTTAGTAATATTGTTATAGAAACTTGCAGTGATTTGTGAAAGGAATCAAATGCAGTAAATCAAAAATTTAATTAATAATGAAAAGAAAAAAATAGAATATTACGATTCCTTTATACTGTATCGACTTTTTTCATACTGTATTGTCTTCCTAGAAGTATGACGGTGAACGATCCGCGAATCATTTCAATCTAGAAGATGCCAAATGCACGGGACTTGTGGTTGACAGTATCGAATCGGCAGTGGAGAAGAGTCGAGCTCGTTTACTTGAAGCTGAACGGCGAAATTCGGGTTTTACTGACAGAACAAGTCCAACAACTTCGTCTAGGTCTGGCTAAAGTTTTTTATTTTTCATTTGGTTATTACGTGCTACATATATCTACAGCTTGTTACAACTGAAACATCTGAACGATGAAATATGTTTATTATTTGTAATTTGGATCATGTTTCATAAAGGTCTTTCATGCTCGAGTTTTGATTTTTATGTAGTATAAAAACGAGAAGGTTCATTTCAGCCGTTCAGGCTGGACAGCACTGTCAGAAAACATGGAAATACCGTCGACTGCGTCAACTATCGGTCCTTCTCACGTTACTGAATCTTGTTTACTGAACTACGATCAGAAATCTCCAGTAAAAACTGTTGTACCAACCGTCAATGAATGCTGCAATTCTTTGAAGTTAGATTTTTCTTTTTTTTTTTCTTGAATCGTAATAATATGTTTAAAGTGTTACATTTAGAATTTGATTTCTAAATGTAACACTTCTACAGAATCAAATATAATTCATTAGTTCTGGCATTTTTTTTATTTAATTTTTCGAGTATTTGAAATTAGAGAAACAGTGTATGAAATAAAATTCCAGCTTTTCGATGACATCTGATCGACAATCTATCAAAAATGAAAGCCTTTCTCCAATTTCAGTGAGAACAGATATGGAACTGTCAAGGAAGGAGCCATCCAGGGTTGGAAGTTTGAAGGTAAGGTTTTAATGAGTCGTGAAAGTACACAGATTGTTTCTTTGATTTTGTAATTGTTTGTACGACAAGGGATTAGAACACTACATTTTAAAGTGTAACTTGAAGTGAGCAAGTTTTTAGATGTTTTCTTTAGAAGCTTGCAGTACTTGGAAACCATGTTTAATCAGAAAAAGTTTTTGGATTTACAAAAACCGGAGATATATATATATGTTTGTGTTTGCCATCGGAATTCGATATTTTCAGAGTTCTTTAACAGCTGCAAAGGAGATGAATGCAGAAAAACCCCAGCCAATACTACTGTGCACAGCAGCGGCCTCACTTTCAGGAAGTTACTGTAATTTGGAAACTAAAGTTAGAAGAAATCTACCGCAAAAATCAGCCGAAGCTTCGCGTACGGTTTATGTACAAATCGATCCTGTGGCTACACTTGGCGCGACACAGGTATTAATTTTACAACAAGTCAAACCAAGCTCCTTGAAAGTTCATCCTGTGTTTGTTTTTTTTTTTTTTTTTAATTGGTAATTACTATGAATGCTTCTAGCATTTACTTATATCATAAAGAAATTATCAAACATTGTTACTTTCAATGAATGTTTGCTTTTGCTTCTCCTTTCAAGACCCAACAAACAATGATGAGAGATCGTGCACGCGTTGGCAACTTAATTAAAAATAAACACTTTTCCAGTCAAAATAACGTGGAAAGCAAAGATCGAAGTGGTTAGTTTTGATTAAAAACATTATATTCACATCAAAAAATTAAATATATTATTAATTAAACTTGCCGCAAAGTTGTTTATAATTGGAAATCAGCGACTTTTTTGTTCATTGAAATTTACCATTTATTCAGCTTTTTTTTTCAGATGAAGGATGTAACAGAAGTGGTTTTTTTACCCGTCGTTTGTGGCGGAAATTGCCAATGTCGAAGTCATATTCTGATCTCCGTTTCTGACGATTTCATAAGTTTTTGTAGGCCAGTATGATCAGTTGGATGTTTCTTAATTTCGAATCAGATTGAATATTTTTGCTAACAGGCTTCTTTTAAGCTTTTAAACTATAAACTAGAACATTGATTTCTTTCTTTTTTGTATTCTTTTAATGACTGTTTTTTAACATCATCGGTTGGTTTGGTGTATTCGTGATATAAATTCCAGCCTATTTATTCTATGTTATTTCTTGATTTTGTCTAATATCTGATGATTTTGTTCTCTAAATGACGATTCTAATATTCTGAACACAATGTAACATAACAATATTATAATTTTTTCTCTATTTTTCACGCTAATTTTTATGTTTGACTTTCGTGGCTTAATTGTGAATAAATAAAAGTGATTTAATGATTTGTCTACTTGTGTATTTTCGACAACAACTAATTTTACGAGAAGTTTAATAGCTTACTAATTGAATAGAAATAGATTTAAAAGTGCAAAGCAGTCTGTTTATAATCCTAGTTATTTTCAATTTCACTGTTAGGGTTACTACGACAACTTGTTATATAGTCATGGCTACTCTCATTTTGTGTTGCAGCACTACAAGTAAGTAGTAGTTATCATTATCACTCTCACTATCATGATTACTATCGACACGTTTGTCATTAAGTATGTAATAGTTTCTCTGAAAGTGAAGCAAAGGAAAGCCAATTTATTTTGTTCATCTAATTGATGTCACGCTTTCGTCCTATTTTGGAAGAAAACGAAATAATATTGCTATATGTTGGAACTTTTTTTTTTTCTTGAAACTGTAATAATCAAGAAACGGTTACCGTTTAGTTTACTAAAAAACAAAGAAAGTGACGAAGTATTGAAGAAGAAAAATCTGTAAACAAGAGCACTGAATGTTGGACTATCCGGAAAGAGCAAAGTGCTATACGATAATTTTCAGTATACGGTAGTTGGAAGATACAAGATAAAAATTCAAGAAATCTAGCTAGGGCTTACTCAAATTGGTCGATACCATTTCAAAATTTGATTAATGCATTTGCTTCAAGTTATAATTCCTTGCGTTGCTAGTAAGAGGTCATTTCTCGAATTGTAGAATAATTAAACTACTCCACTTCCTGTGTATCTTCTGCTTTTTGTGTTGCATTCGTCCTGATTGACCGGAATGAATGAATGAACGAGTAATGATCTGTTCCTCTTCAATACCGCTTCACTTCTTATAAACATTGCTTTCTTCCGATCATTCATTATCATCGTTGTGACAGTTAACCTGTCTATCTGTGTTCTCCTTTATTCAATCTGCTGCTGTACTGTACGACCATTTTCCTTCATGAATTGATCGTTTACCTTTAGAGCGCTAATAAATGCAAATAATGTAATTTGCGCCAAAATGAAATACGAACATTTGCATTTACTTTTACTCTTTACTGAAATTAAGTTTTCCCTTTTTAAATAATATAAGCTGGAAAATTTTGGCAGAGGTTAGCGATGAAAAATTTCAACTGAACTAAATTTGTAAACTAACTTTTGTGCATATCGTTTCTTCTTGAATTTTAAAACGAATGAATGAAAATGAATGGTATGGAAATAGGAAAAAGGACAAGAAGAGTAGTGACTCTTCTTCTAGCTGTTGTCCGTCATTTTTTGTTGCTATTTTAATATCATATTGCTTGTCAATCTAGTTCTTTCCTTATAAAATTTCACATAAATTTGAACACTCTCTTTTACAATTTCTAATTCTCTTCTCCTTTCTATTTCAGCTTATATATTTTGTAACTTATTACTTCTTTGTAGAAAAGTTAAATTTTTTAAATGGATTTTTTGCATAAATTATTAAAAGTTCTGGAAAAAATTTTGTTTCAATTTTTTCACAAGAAAGCTTGAATTATTCGATGTTGTCATTTACTTCACTAAATATGATCACTCCAATAGTTTCTTTGAACAGAAGTATTTTTGCTTTTGCTTCTGATTCTGAGCCTTCAAAGTAAGATATTTTGTTGCTATGCGTGTAGCTCCCAAGCTAACCTTTCCTTTCCGCTTAATTTGCTTCTCGATGTTATATTATTTCATTATTTTTTCTTTCGAAAAAATAAAAAAAAAAAATGTTTCTCAATAAATTTGCTTTCCAATTCGTTTTTCTTCATCTACACTCTTTTGAAATGTCATCTCTTTGAAATGTACAGAGGCAAAAATTATAGTTGCTAAAGAACAAATGAGCTATTCTTAGATGTCTAACTATAGAAATGAAAACAATAGTAACTTTACATACATAGTAGATCAGCAGTAGTTTAGCACAGCGGGCAAATTTAATGAAGAAGGAAAGATATTCCATTTTGATTAATAAGGAAACTAATCAGAAGGAAAATATATATTATAGAAATTTCAAAACATTTCATAAATTTTCTTCAAAAAAAAAAAGCTATCCTCTTGTTAAAAAAAGAAAGAAAAAAATTCTCATGATATGAATCTCTAAGTGAAATTTGATTCAAATATAGATTTCATTTTTCATCCCAACTTTATTTAACTTTTAACTTTATTTAAATGGAAATGACCTAACTTATTCCCATGCAAAGTTACTACATTCAATATACAAATCTGCTGCTACTTTACCAATATTTCGAACAGAACAATTGATTTCAGCCACAGCAGAAAGAGCTGAAATTGCATTCCAAGTTGTGTAGACATGTCACAGTTAAGTTGTCCTTTAATGAAGTGGATATAATGAGGAGTAGTGGGACTTTTTTGAGAATACTTATATGAAAATTGATTCTTTCCAATTTCAGTTTAGGATAATCACTACACTGTCTACTATATATCATTCAATTCTAGCATGATTTGACTAAATGAATTAGATAGGTTCAAAAACAGAGTCTTTGAACTTTTTCACTCATCAATTTCATCAGTGGAAAGAGATAAATGACAAAAAAAGAAAAAAAGAAATAGGAAAATTTTAGTGAAGAGACGAAACGTGGAGAGAAGAAGAGGAGAGGAGAGGAATGGAGAGAGAGAGGAGGAAACAAGTTCCACCACAAGTGAAAAGTTAAAAAATGAAAGTAGCTGAGAGTGAAATTAGAACGATACTTTGAAATGAATGAATGAACGAATGAATGGATGGATGGTTTACAGGGAGTGATGTTCATCAACACCAGAAGAGAGGAAGGAGTATGGGAGAGAGAGATACGGAGAGGACAATAATATCTGTATTCCTTGTTTTGTACCCGTATATTTAGGATTGTTTGGATGGTTGATGTGACCGGCTTTCCAAACATTAAATAGGTAACTGTTTGTATTTCTTTTGCAAAAAATTAATCAATAATTTTGCTATTTTTAAGCATTACGTATTTCCGGAAAAATTTTTTTTAATTAGCTATCAATTGTATTGCTTTTTTATTCGTCTACTTTTTCTGTAAACTAAAATGTTTTGATTTTCAAATGACAAATAGTGAACTATTTACAGTGGAAAAAATGTATTCGTATTATTTCATTTTGTACAGTTGTTATCAGTAGAAAGGAATCATTGCTGCTATGTATAAGATGAGGAAAAGGGAGACAGGAGAAGTTGACAATATTATGGATAAACTAAGAGACAACAGCAGCACTTCTATAAATTCTGTTTGTTATTTATTTTAACGTACTTCTTAGGCATTTTTAACGCTGATTCATATATTTTCACTTTCCCTCTCTTTGTTCATCTTTTGGTTTCTTTAAAAGTAAAGAAATGCACTTACTATCTTGCTTGCTTCTTCTTTCATCTACTTATCATCAGATGGACGGAATTCAAACTCATTTCAAACTCGCAGCACTTCTTTTAAGAAGCAATTTAGATCAACAACTTCATAACTCGAAATTCATTCATTCCTATTTTTTAATTTATTCAATTTAAATGGTCAGAAAAAAAGTCATCCAATTCATTAATTATTAATTCAGCTATATTTCTCGACTAATTAGTTGTTTCTTTTCGCAGTTATTTTTAGAAATTTTTTGAAATTATGCATGAAGCATTGAAGGAGAAAAGGAAATTATGTATCAAAAGTGCATTATATAACAGAAAAAAAAAAAAATTGCATTTACAAAGATAAATGTGGCAGTACATTGTTATTTGTACGTCACATTCTCTCTATCAGTTTAATTGACATCGGCATTTCAGAAAAAAATTTTGAAAAGCTTTTCAAAATCAAAAATTGATTGCATCCAATCATTGTGTTACTGTTGCCCATGCCTATATTGTCAGCAATATGATTAAAAATTTTATTATGTATAGTGAACTTTGCTCTTTAAATGTAGTGTAGAATAACTGTTTCAAAGAAAAATCCAAGTAACAGTTCTCAATAATAACTTTTCAAGTAATTTACATTTTTAAGATATTTCTTTTTGCAATAACTTTTAGCAGTTGTATATTGAAGTTCCGAGTTTCACATGGTGTTGAAAAGAGACTTGGTAAAGATGATTCCCATCCATCCCGAAAAAAAAAAAACAAATTTGGACATATTTGTCATTATATTAGAATTCCATGGTGGAACTAGCAAAGATTATATCTTTTGGATTTTTTTAGTGAAAAATTTTGTTAATGGAAAAACCTGTTGTCTACAGATCAGTTATTTCAAAACTTTATTACAGTGCTAACAAAACTGCATCATCAAATTCTACTCTTTTTATCACAAATACCTCTGTTTTTTTTTTTTTTTTTTTGAAAGATGGAATCAGAAAATAAACTGAGGAAAACCTTTTTCAACAGTGCACTTAGAGGGAGAATATATTTCTTTTTTTTTTTTCAAGAATTTTGATGAAAGCAAGTGAAAGTATCAGATTAGTTGTTGAAATGGAATGTTAGGTGATAAATAAATACTCATGCAAATAAATTCTGCTATATTTAACCGTTTGTACTTTGCATCTCTACCAATGCTAATCATAAGAGAAATTTTAAATAAGATTGACTCTTACTGAAAACAGATAATCTTGATGTCATTAAGTAACCTTGACATTGTATTATTTCATCAAACCCCTACATCCCCCC